TCCCGGCGCGGCCACAGCCCCCGAGCTCTGGGGCAACACAGGCAGCCTCGGGACTCTCCGGCGCGCCGCCGCGTCCCCAGACAAAGGCTTGGCCGGCGGCCCCGGCCCGCTGCGCCCTTAGCTCCCCGCCTCCCCGGCTCGCAGCTCTTCGCCCCCGCGCTTGGCTTGGCGCGCCTCGGCCCGCCGCAAAGTTTCCCCGGCGGCAGCGGCGGCTGAGCCTCGCGTCAGCGATGGCCGCGGAGCTGAGCATGGGGCCAGAGCTGCCCACCAGCCCGCTGGCCATGGAGTACGTCAACGACTTCGACCTGCTCAAGTTCGACGTGAAGAAGGAGCCGCTGGGGCGCGCGGAGCGCCCGGGCCGACCCTGTACGCGCCTGCAGCCGGCTGGCTCCGTGTCGTCCACACCGCTCAGCACGCCGTGCAGCTCGGTTCCCTCTTCGCCCAGTTTCAGCCCGACTGAACAGAAGACCCACCTCGAGGATCTGTACTGGATGGCGAGCAACTACCAGCAGATGAATCCTGAGGCGCTCAACCTGACGCCCGAGGACGCGGTGGAGGCGCTCATCGGCGCGCACCCAGTGCCACAGCCGCTGCAGAGCTTCGACGGCTTCCGAGGCGCGCACCACCACCACCACCACCACCATCACCCGCACCCGCACCACGCGTACCCAGGCGCCGGGGTGGCCCACGAGGAGCTGGGCCCCCACGCGCACCCGCACCATCACCACCACCACCAAGCGTCGCCGCCGCCGCCGTCCAGCGCCGCCAGCCCCGCGCAACAGCTGCCCACCAGCCACCCCGGGCCGAGTCCGCACGCGGCGGCAGCGGCGACGGTGGCCGGCGGCAACGGCAGCGTGGAGGACCGCTTCTCCGACGACCAGCTCGTGTCCATGTCAGTGCGTGAGCTGAACCGCCACCTGCGGGGCTTCACCAAGGACGAGGTGATCCGCCTGAAGCAGAAGCGGCGGACCCTGAAGAACCGGGGCTACGCCCAATCGTGCAGGTATAAACGCGTCCAGCAGAAACACCACCTGGAGAATGAGAAGACGCAGCTCATTCAGCAGGTGGAGCAGCTTAAGCAGGAGGTGTCCCGGCTGGCCCGCGAGAGAGACGCCTACAAGGTCAAGTGCGAGAAACTCGCCAACTCCGGCTTCAGGGAGGCGGGCTCCACCAGCGACAACCCCTCCTCTCCCGAGTTCTTTCTGTGAGTCGCGGCGGGTCCCGGCCCCCGCCCTTGTCCCGGCCCGGACGCCCTGTCCCTTGTCCCCAGCCCTGGACTCCCCTGGACCTTGTCCCTGCCATGGCCCCAGCCTTGACCTGTTTGACTTGAGCGAGAGGGAGGAAGGGCACGCGCGCGGGCCGTGGGCGACGGGCGGAGCGCGGGAGGCAGGGGACTTTGGCTAAGGCGAGAGTAGCGCACGCCAGCCGCCGCCTCCTAGACTCGAGCCCAGCCAGAGAGACGAGGGGGTGGGAGGTCCCGGAGCAACTTTTCTCCAGGCTGGAAAGCGGCGAGGCGTAGTACCAAGGAGTCGCCAAGGCAGTCTGGAGACGCCTGGCTTTCTGAACTTTGAGAGTGCCGTCCGCTGCTTCGCTGTCCGGAGCTCAGTCTGCTCCAGGAAGAGAGCAGAGGAGAGGGACCCTGGCGTCTTCGGCAGGCGCGAAGCCAGGTTGAGCGAAAGGGGATGAACAGATGGACCTGCCGAGGTCTAGAGTCCAGAGAACACTGGCTCTCACCCGGGAGACTCGGTCCTCGGTTAGGACGTTCCGGCGCGCAAATCTCATCCGTTTTATTGCCTGCTCGATTATATAGAAAAATACGAAAATCTGCATTAAAAATATTAATCCTGCATGCTGGACATGTATGGTAATAATTTCTATTTTGTACCATTTTCTTGTTTAACTTTAGCATGTTGTTGATCATGGATCATAACCCCCTTGTTTCTTTGGGTGAGAAGGGACTGCAGTTGGGAAACTGCAGTGGCTGTGAGCCGGGTTTCAGTCCTGGCTGCTGGTTTGTAAATACCTGCCCCCACCAAACCGCACAGAATACGTGGCAGCAAGCTGAGTGTCTTTGTTTGAGTTTATTACTACGACATTTTTCTTTGTAAGTTTACAAAAAAAAAAAAAAAGAAAGAAAGAAAGAAAGAAAGAAAGAAAGAAAGAAAGAAAGAAAGAAAAAAGAAGGAAAGAGAAAGAAAGAAGTTCCAGGCATTTAGCATCACACAACTTTGTCTTGGGGCAACCTTGGAAGTTGCATGTTTTCTTCTGTCCCGATCCTGTCCTGTTCTCTTTTCCCTCCGTTTTAGTTTTCAGTTTTGTGGGCTTTGAGGGACACTGCAAGGACAGGACAGTTGTAGAGCTCCACACCACTTCCCCAATCCCTGCCTAGTTTTCTTGGCCAAATTGACACCTTTAATAAGAGAGGAAGGAAAACAGATCTCCACTGCTTTTTATTGTAACCAGAATCACCCCAGGGTCCCTTTGGAATTCTCCAGGCTGGCATTAATTCCAAGGGTCCCTGGGCACTCCTCCGGGGAAAAGCTTTGCCATCCTTGACACTGGTCAGTGACCAGAGCTTGCATTGAACCAACTGCCACATTTAGGATGTATCAAAAAACCAAACATTGACAAGTGATTGCAGCTTTCAAGTGTGTTCTTTAGACCAATGCATTATGTGTTTCTTTCCCTGCTTCTGAGATGGCAGGAAAAGTTATTGGTGGTGTTCCTCTCCCCTGCCTTCAGTTGTATAATAGTTATGGGGGAGATCTGGGTGTTTTTCTTTATTATTACTTTTTTTTCTGCAGGTCAGTAAAAGGATTTAAGTTGCACTGACAAAATATACCAAAATTAAAGGGTATTTTTTAGTTCCCATTTGAAATTGCTGGCGCTGCTGGCCAGATGCATTTTTGAGTTTGTATTAGTTGATAAATTAACAGTAATAACAAGATTGTATGAACCGCATGGTGCTTGCAGTTTTAAATATTGTGGATATTCGTCCTGCATCAGAAATGAGCTTTGGTTTTTACGGATTCAACTGTGTTGAAATCAAACTTAACTGCAACAGAAATTGTTTTTATTTCATGTAAAATAAGGGATCAATTTCAAACCCTGCTTATGATATGAAAATATTAAAACCTAGTCTATTGTAGTTTTATTCAGACTGGTTTCTGTTTTTTGGTTATTAAAATGGTTTCCTATTTTGCTTATTAAAACCATGGGAATGGTGTTTATTTAGAGGACTCTGTGTTCGCATGACTTTGACTCTTTTCTTGCTTCTTCAAGAGTTGCACCAACTTTGGAGCACACCCGCCCAATGGAAATGTAAACAAGTCCAGGCACATCTATCTCTCCATGAAGTGTGTGGAGACTCCAATATGTTCTCTACTTTTTATCTTAAGTCCAAACCCCGGTCAGGAGTTGGCTTATGAGCTGAGATGGTACAGGTCTGAAAGGCCCTGGAGTCCCTGGGCATTGGCACAACCCCCTTTTTCAGCACTTTCTGACTTGGTGATCAGGGCTGGCCCGCAGGCCTGCCGGCTCTGAGCTGGTAAATGGCAGAAACCAGGAAGCCAAAACTTGCTCCCTTGCTGGAGAAATCAGGTCTTTTCGGTGCTTAGGGCTGTCCTTGCTTTCCTGCCTGAGTTTAGGGTCTCTAGATGTGCTCGTGCTTGGCACCCAGAGCCAGAACACCTGCTCTGAACGGAGACCTGGCCTCCTCCCCAAGATGGTTGGAAGAGGGTAAAACCCAGCACCACATCTTGGGGTGCTCAACCCTCCAGACAGGAAGCCCCTCCTTGACTCCTTTTGGGGGCTACTATGTACAAGGTGTTCTGGCAGCGAAGACGGGGAGCCTTTAGCCTCACAGAAAGGCTCCGCACTGCACATCCAGTCAGGCTCCTCACACTGAGGGTCAGAGAGGTTTGGGGGATCTTGTGGCACAGCAGCTCTTACTGTAGCCTGAAGATCCCTAACCTGGAGGTAGCCCTAGACCTCTTCCTTTCCCTGATTCTTAGAAGAACAGTGTCCACCTCAATTGCCCAAACTCCTCCCAGCCTCTTTGGAATCCAGTTTATAATTTAGGATTGGCCTCGGATACCTCAGGGAGGTGAAGAAGAACCGAGGAACCTCACAAGGGTCCTGCACTCTTTTGGCAATGGCCGACTCCTGTGATTTCCCTGTCCCCGACCTGAGATTATCTGGTTTAGCGTTCTTAACAGGAATTTTCAGGACCTGAAAGTGAGGTGTAGGAGCCCCAAGCTGTGGTGCCCCATCTAAGACCCAGGGCTGGGAGGAACCGGGGAGAGGGAAGCAGAGGGTAGAACTCACAGGGGATAGGTTTTGACAGGGATCCCTGGAGACCGGGAGGGTGGGAGTGATCACTGAGGCCTGGCAAAGAGTGAGACCTAAAAATCAAGATACAAATATTAACAATAATTTACACACATACAGTGCTTGGTGTTTAGTAGGAGAGAAGCTTGGGATTCTAGTTCACATTTAGTTCCAAAATCTGGTTCGTCTTACCAACCAGAAGACCCGTCTGGCAGAGGAGGCTTTGGCTGTGATCTGGGAGGAGGAAGTGGCTGAGCCTGGTTGCCGACTTTGCCCTGTACGCTGGAAGAAGAAGGAATCAGAGGGTATGCTAGCTCTGTGGTTTCGTATGCAAGTTCTCCTACACAAAACATGTACAAATGCTTCCCCTGTGGGGCGAAAGAGGACTCTGTCAGGGTCAGGCGGGGCGTCCGAAGAAACTCTGCTGTGTGTGCCCTGCAGAGACCAGGGGAGGGTCACAGACTCCTGGTGGTGGAAGCCCTAAACTGGTGGCCCGACTCCTTGTGGAATCACCCTGAGCCAACCAGCATCCTCCACCTCTAGGGTCACTGAGACTTTGTCTGAGAAAAGCCTCCACATTGAGAGGGAGAGTTGTGACTGCAAAGCCTTGGTCTTTGCTCCTCAGGGCACAGAGAAACCCAAATCCACTCGGTAACATACCATCACGTTGCATCCAGAAGGACGAGGTGGTTCAGATCAGTTCAAAGTGACCAGCTGCGTCTTGGAGAAGATAACAGTCCCACTACACAGCCCTAGCAACACACAGAAACACCCACACCCACACCCTGCACCCGCACTGATGCCCATTCAGGCACTGCAGACCCTGCACCAAGCCATCAGTCAACCACCAGCCTGCTCGGGACACAGGCACGCACGAGAGCTGGCACACTCGGCAACTCCCTGGAGGAGGCCGGGGCTTCCGAACCTTGCGGCCTGTCTCCACGCTCAGCCTGCCTTCGCGACCCTCCACGATGCCCTGACCCAGCGCCCACAAGTCCGGAAAAAGAGAAGTGGTTCCCGAGCACCTCCAGCTCGGTGCGCCTCAACGGCACTCTGCCACCTTCATCCTCCTTTTCCGTTCCTACTGCTCCCCGTGACTCTCAGGTATCTCACGAAGGGATCACCAAGTCCCGGGGCGGGGGTAGGGGTCCTCCAGCGCCAGGAGTCTTCCAAGCCCGCGCTGGTTCCATGTAGACAGGCTGGCGCCTGCACCCGGAGACACATTGGGAGACACACACAGACACCGGGACGCACGCGGGGGGTAGCACAGGGGATACAGCTCGATTCCCGCTGTGCCCCTTGCTGGGCGGAGGGACGCACTCAGGTTGGGCGCGAAGCCCTCTTCCTGCCGTCTCGTATCTTACGGGTGCTGGGGACCTGGGTCCTGAGCCACAGACTCCACCTTCAGCGAGGCGCGTCGGGGAAGGCGCTGGAGCGGCTCCCGGCAGCTCGGGCTTCTCACAGTCTCGGGAAGGATCAGCCCCTTGCCTCGCCTCCTGCAGGCAAGCCCCAGCCCGTCTCCACCGCAGGCTGCGGGCCACCGCCGCGAAGCCCCGACCGACCCGCGCTCACAAGTCCAGGAAAAGAGAAGTGGGTCCGGCCGACGCTCGCTTTTTCTGTTTCTGTTTCGTTCTTCCTTTCTTTTCTTTCTTCTTTCTCTTTCCTTCCTTCCTTCTCTCCTTCCTTCTTTCTCCTGCCTCACCGCTTCCTTTCTTCCTTCTTTCCTTCTTTCCTTTTCTTTCCCTTTCTTCCCATCCCCCTCCTCACGGTTCCCCATTCCCCACTCCTTCAGCCCTTCCTTCCCAACCTCTTGTTTCAGAAAAGTTTCTCATTCTGTTTGTTTTCTCTTCTGCCTTTTATCCGGGGCTGCCTGGTGTGGATGGGCTGCAGAGCAGCTCCTGGAGGGAGCCGGGAGGCGGAGGACGATGGCGGACGTCTGCAGTCCCCGGAGCCACGGTGAAGCTTGGGTGCTAGCAGTTAACTTAGACTCTTGCCTGGGCTCCAGCTCTCCAGCGGTTCCCTTTGTTCCTTGGCCAGCACCAAGGTTGGCAGGTGGCCAGCAGGGGCAATTCTGTGATGGGGGTCACTCGGGAACCGAGGCTGTGCACCAGAGCCCTCTTGCAGTCCTAGGCAGGCTTCCCACATTCCCCGTCTCTGGGCATTTATATGGCAGGACAATCCTCTGCTTACTAGAGGGCACTCACTTCCCACCTACTATGCCTGTGCTTGCCCGGTGACACTGTTGGCGGTAGCTGCCAAGAACCATACCAGGTAGACCAGGCTGGTACACCAGGCTGGTACTTGGGTTCCCCTGTGGCCTGGAGTTACAGTGCCTGCCACCCAGGCAAACCCCTTACTCCCTCACTCTCCTGTCCCTAGCCGCTAGCCCATCCTCTCCAGAATACTGGAAACATCAGCTTTACAGTTTCTAGTCCTTCCCAGGCAGGCTTTCAGATGCAAAACTTGCATTCTGGGGTTTTCTCTATTCTGAAAGGAAAAGCCAGAGCTGACTTCGGAGTAACTACAACCTTTGCCTCTGCAGCCTGCAGACTGAAGGCCTGGCCTTTCCTCCCAGAGATAGTTGTGTTTAGATTTGTTATGTAAGGAATCCTTTTTCCCTTACTAAAATAAAAGCCCTCAAATGGCACGTCCTGTAGGCAGCATCCTTTCCAGTAGCAGCCCTCGGGAAAGAAGTTAGTCTGGCTGGAGGAGCTGCTCCAGGCTGGTGACTAGCAGGGCACACTTTGTCGACAGTCCAGCTGCAGTGACTGCAGCGATGTGAGGATCCTGGGTCCAGGGTATACCTTGGCTGCTAAAGCAGCCACCTCTGGGCTTCCTAGGCGGGGGCTTTCCTGGTTCAAGAAGCCTAGACTTTTTTTGAGAAAGAAGCAACTGCTGCAGAATTTCATCCTTTCCACAGTTCCTGTGCTGGGAGAAGATGTCAAAGCCAAGGAAAGCACATTTTTAAACTGAGGAGACCCCATTCTCTAAGCCCCCTATATCTCCTCATTCAATTTGCCCCCTCCAAACACATTACCTGATGCTGCCTGGCCCTCTCCTCCCCTCCCCTCCACTCCCCTGCCCTCCCCTTCTCTCCCCTCCTCTCTCTTTTTCCTTCTCTCTCTCCCCTGCATGAGTTTCCATGCCTTCTACTTCTTAGTCTTCTGAACTCTTTTCTCCATTGTTCTATGCGTGTTATCTTAAATGTTGCATTTACATAAGAAGATCAGAGCTAATGTTCTCACTTGGAGGAAATTAAATATATGAGAAAAATTGCTGCTCCAATGCAGGAAACCACCTAAATTAATAATGAGGATTTGTTTCAAGCGAAACTCAGTTTTTGTGGCCTCTCTGCATTCTTTGTATGTGAAAGTTACTTTCATGTAAAAAACTGGAAGCCACTCATTCTGTATTCTGTTTTATTTGTATCAAAAGGGGATGCTGTTTGGGGGAGGTGCAGGGCAGTGGGAGGAGGTCTGGAATTTTCTGGAAGGAATAAGCCAGTTCCAGCATGAGAAGAGACATAAAGAACATAGATCCAGCATTTATGTTGTTGTGTTTCCTTTTTTGGAATGTTGTGGATTTACTAGGGCTTAGACTTCTTCCAATAGATGAAGAGGGGAGGGAGGCTAGAGGGACTCATTTTAGAGTTTGGAGCCCCAGGGAGGCATTGATCCTGGCCTATGACTCCATTAAACCCAGAAGCTGAGGCTGCCCTTGGCCACTCTCAAGTTTCCTGTTTCTTCTGATATGTCACCTTTGCTGCCCTGTCTCTGCCACTGTTAGAGGCCCGTGAGGTTTATTTGGCAGAGGCCATGGTCCTGGGCTGGTCTGGAGTTAGCTCTGCCTTTCCTGAGTGGGCAGAGACAGGCTGTACTTCCCAGGGCAGGGCTTGGCCTCTGCCCTCCTTTGTGCCCTGGCATCCAGACCCTGGAACAGATGCCCTTTTCCACAGACAGGGGGCAAGCAGGTCATAGAGCAGAAGAGACATAAACGTTGGGGTTATTATTATTCTGACATTTCACTTAACTCTATGCAAGAAGGAAAGATGGAAGGGAAGAAGAAAGAGGAGGAGGGAGCAGGCTGCTATTATCTGTAGGTTAAGGATGGATAAATAAGGCCCAGAGTGGTCACTGTTTTCTCAGGATCACCCAGGGGAAAATCCAGAACTTGACTCTCTACCAATCTGATGGTCAAAATTGTGTATCTTTGCTATTAACCCCCATAAGCCCACCATCCTTGTCTAAAACATTCACAAGTTTGGAAGAGTGGGAAATAGCTCTCTTTGGGAACATTTCCTTTTTAAGTCTCTTTGCAGAGGCAGCGATTTACTTGGGGGTGTGCGTCATGCTTTGCCTTCACAAAGCTCTTTGCCCAGGTGAGTACAGGAACATGGTGACTTGGGGACACAGCAGGGAAACATGAAGACAAAGGTGTCACAGAGAAGCTACAGCTGTCTCTCAGGTCACTGCAAAAGAAGATACTGGTTGGGTAAACTCTGTGTGTATATGTGTGTGTGTGTGTGTGTGTGTGTGTGTGTGTAATGGAGGCCGTCTTGGGCATAGCTGTCTTGAGACATTGATGCTGTTTGTAGGTGAACGTACAGTCTTTCTATTTCCAGCTGTCTGTTCTCAGCTGAACTTTGCAATAAATGGATTAGGATTACCAGAGCGAGTAAATGTTCACAGAAGTAGCAGCCTATAGGTGAGGCAATTCTGATGGAATCATTCAGTTTAACGAAACCTGTTTCTGGGGTGATATTGAAGCTTTGGATTTGCAAGTAGATATGTTTTCACTTGCTGGACAGGCACTGCATGAACACACATGTGTACACACTCATGCTTGTGTATGGAGAGGCAGGCATGCACCCATATACACGTGCAAGCACAGAGGCTGCATTTGCTCATTTGCCATGCTCTTACTCTCATATTATACATATTACACAGGTACCCATGTCTGTCTGTATCCGTGTCTGTCTGCACACATGTCCAAATGCTTATGCACATGCACTTGCATTTATAGGGTGCAAACAGTGTTTACAGGTGTGCACATAGGTGTATGGATGTGTACTCACATCAAAACACAGTTGATTACGCAGGTGCACATGCTCTCACAAAGTGTGTGTGGGACCCTGTACATTCTCACAGGCATACACACACACACACACATTCATAATGGAACACTGGCCTTCACATTCACTCACGCGTAAACACCATGTAATAAGTAGAAGGTGGCGCTGGTGGGGTTAATGGAGGCCCCAGACGCCCATAAATATTTATACGAAGCTCTCAAGCTCTCCAAGTGGGAGACGAAACCTCTCCCCACGAGCTCCTCTAAATCACATGGCTGCTCTGTGTTACCTGTCAGATCCAGAGCTGTGCAGTCCATGACTTGCTCCAGGAAGGCAACACATATGTGCCGGAGCACAAGGCACACTCCACACCTAGTCAGGCATGCTAGCAAATATGCCAAGGATTCTCCTCTAAGCAGCAAAAGAAAGCATTTCAGTGCTGGTGACCGAGCTGTTCCCAGGAGTGTGGGGCTGCAGGGACTGAAAGACAGTTTGTGAATATCTGAGATTCAGCTTCTGTAGGGAGGACAGAAGCTATCCTGAAGGGAAGCGCATTGGGCCCTGGTGAGGAGGTGGATACCAGAGTGGGGTGAGGTCCTGGGTAGAGTCCAGGTTTCAGGTAGCAGGCAGTCCACCTTCTGGAGCTGTTCTTACCAAGGTTTTGGGTCCCCTGAGCCAACTGAATGGCAGGGCCCACAGCTCCTGTGACTCTGTGACCAGTAGACACTCACCTCCCACACTCGGCACCCCAATCCACTCATCCAACATTGAACAAATATTTCTTATATGTCCTTCATGTGCCCAGCACTGTGCTACGTGTTGACAGTATGACAATGAACAAAAGCAGAAGCCATCCCAGGCCACATGGAATTTACAATCGAACAGGAGAGAAGAGGTGCTGTCAGATGTTGTACTAACAAGCATGCAATGTCAGAGAGAGGCACTTGCTACGGAGGAAAGCTACCTGGTCATCTGACACTATACACATGACCCTGAAGCCAACTCACAGGAGAAAGAGGGGCCAGGCGGGCTTCCTGGAGGAAGTGATGTTTGAACTGAGATCTACGGTCTGAAAGAAGTTATCTGAATCAAATGGATAGAACCCTCCAGATGGAGCTGTCTTGATAACAATTTCTGTGATGACAAAAGTTTTCCATAACTGTGCCTTTCCGTAAGGCAGCCATTAGCCCAAAGTGGTCACTGAGCCTTTCAAATGTGGCTTGTGCTTCAGAGGTTTTGAATTTTAATTCTTATTTTTTTTTATTTTTGATTAATTTTAATATAGGTGACCAGGGCTCCTATCTCTTCTCTGGTTTTTCTCTTCCTTTACTTTCTTACCTTCCTTGTTCTGTTCTAGCACACTGACCACACTGGCTGCTTTGTTGTTCCGGACCACACTGGCTACTGCTCTTTCTCAGACAGCATCACCTCCATGAGGCTAAGCTTGACCATCTGCTGAGTGTGACAGCTTGTCCCCCGTGTCCTGGGCACTCCTGACCTACCTCGTGTTTCTCTACTATTCCCTCCCCTCCTCCTCCTCTCCCTACCCCTTCCTTTATTTCCCCTTCTTCTCCTTCCCTTCCTTTTTCCTTCCTCCTTTCCTCTCCTTTCCTTTCCTTTCCTTTCCTTTCCTTTCCTTTCCTTTCCTTTCCTTTCCTTTCCTTTCCTTTCCTTTCCTTTCCTTTCCTTTCCTTTCCTT